GCTTTTCCTCAAAGTCATTAATTGCCATAAAATCATTTAAAAATAAAAAAACAACAAGAAGTCATCTTGGGAAAAGATAGTATATCAATGAAGTAGGTACTTATATATTTTATGTGAAAGGCAGAGATGAGTTTATTCTCCAGATACTTAAACAGGGCAACATATAAATCTGTGTGATCTGGGATTTCTCCTTGCCTTTGAGGCTGCAGTTTCCCCTCAGAATGGAGTCTCAAGACCCCTGCTTTCATTGTTTACTGATTCAGCTGATGGACAGGGTCTGAGTTCCCACAGTAATGCACTGATTGCTATTTGCTTCCAGAAATAAATGTGGCTAAACGGTGCTTTATTTATTGATTAGTTGGAATGAGCCCAGACTGCCAATGAAGTCTGTCGGAGGAAACGAAAGAGGTCTGTTTCAGAAGAGGAACATTTTTAAATGCTCTTCTAGCTGTTTTGGTGCTGAAACAAACATTCACATGCCAGGAATGCCCCTTTCATTTTTATTTAAACCAGTCTACAGGGCCGTGACGAGAAGACAGCTAATTGTACTCGATGCCACACAGTGCATTCGGCCAACTCTCCCATAACTTTGGAGGCAGGGTGGAGGGGATGATGTTGTGATGGTAAATTGCCTGGCATGTATACAAGCTGGCAGGGGTTCCAACCTCCAGTGATTAGACAGAATCATTTTCTCTTTAATGTAGCATTCCCACCCGAGAACTTCATTTTATACAATTATTTGCTATAGGGGTACTGTCAGCTTCAGGGTAGCACTGCTTCTAAGCCTGCAGTGAGCACTTAGCCACAGCTGCTTTCAAAACGTAGAAGATAAGAGTGAGGAATAACTCCACTCGTTCGGGGAAGAGCTGTGGGTTAGCACAAGAGAATGAACCAATGGCAGGAAACATCAGAGCTGTCTCTCCATACGGAACTATTGTGGGTGAACAGCAGACAAAACAGTAACACAAGTAATGTTAGTATTTTCTGCATATTGAGTTTTCTAAGGTTGGAAAGCTTTCCTTCAATGTTTCTCGTCTTTACTTAACTCTGTGAGATAGGTGGGATTATCACCACTTCATACAGGAGGGAACTGAGGCTCAGAGAAGTTAAGCGTTTCATCTTCTGCTAAAAAGTAGTTGGTCCTGGAAATAACCCAAACCTGCTTCATTCTAAAGCTAATGCTTCTTTTGAAACATCTTATCATAAATATTCATCCTGTCTCAGTGTATACCAAATTCAGGGGAGTGGTTACCTCTGGGAAAGAAGACAGAAGGATAGGTGAAACTTTAACTACAATCTAGAATATTTCTTAAACTGTAATGATATAAAAAAGATAACTGGCACCTCTGGGTAAGAAGACAGAAGGATAGATGAAACTTTAACTACAATCTAGAATGTTTCTTAAACTGTAATGATATAAAAAAGATAAATGGCATAATATTTTAAATGGACTGGAGTTGTATGGTTTTCTATAGTTTTCTGTGGGCTTGAAGTATTTCATTAAAAAAATTGTTCCTACTCATAAATGGCAAAGCTGCAGTCTCTTCTTTGCTAATAGAATTATGTCAGGAATCCAAAACATTACTCATAAAATGAATGTAGAATGGCTCTGGTAAGAAATTAAACCCCTTCGGCCCTCTTTCCACCCATAGAGATTAATGGTTGTCATGAATACAATCAGTCCCCTTCACTAAGAATAAAATTTTTCCTTGATAACAATTATTTAATGTGAGGCAGTTCTCACATTGTACAGTAATGCGAGACCATAAAAATAATCATGTGAGCTGAAACCATGCAAAACAGTCTTAATCAATGGGAAAAATCACCATTGTTCCCTGATCTTAAAATTTATCAAAACATCTAAAACTTTTCTGTTGTAGATTATAAGTATACAGAAAATTTTTAAATAAAATCTCATTTTATTTTAAAAATAAAAACATTGAGAATTAATGTTCATTTCTCTGTTAAAAAAAAGTTTATCAAAAGTAGTTTGAATAGTGCTTGCCTTCTTCTCATTCTATAACTTATGATTTGGGGTAAGCATCTCTTCTATGCCTTTGTAAATTGTTCATAATCCCTCCTAAGTTTGAATCAGTTTACAACATTTGACCTAGTGCATTTTCAGTGTCATGAAATATTTCATATTTCCTTTAGTGTGGAGTTTTTGGCCAGTGCATCTTCCCTGGGATTGCTCCAACTTTTTCATCACTGTTTTATTCCTTTCCATTTCTGGTGATAAATTCACCTCATTCAGTTCCTCTTGCTGCATATAACAGAATGGTGGCAATGTGAACATTTCCATATTCAGCTGTCTCTTCTATAACTCCACTGATATTGGACTTGAACTTCACACCCAGCAGTACCTTATTTTATTTCTTTGTTGCATTTTGTTGGCCAGGTTCAACTTTCAGTCACCCAGTTCTGTAAAGTTTCATGTATGTTTATCACTGGGAGATGAGGAGGCAGAACAGGTAGATGCTTTGCTGTCCGTGCAAGAACCGAGTAACAGATGTGCCGCGACCGATCACCGACAGACCTTAAGTGTTGTGACCTGGTCACTGAATAGGTGTGATTTGTTATTTACATAGAGATTTGTGGGCCCAGGAGCTGGCAATTATGCAATTATTCACAGTTAATATACTGTGGTAACTGAAATTTGAACCATGTTGTTAGGGGGCTTGTCTTTTTTTTAACTAATAGTGGTAACTGAAATGGGTATATTTTAGAACCATACAAAGTGAAACTTCCTTATATTCTTATTGGCTCCTCTTATAGAGAGTATTTCTTATGAACTAGAGCAGTGGCACATGTGATGTGGAAATGATATGATTATTCCACTTTGGCAGGGGGGGTATTTACAGTGCCATTGCATAGAATTTCCAACAAGTGGTGATAGTAGAAATCAGAAGAGTTAAAAGTTGTTTTAAAATTATTTGAAGACAATATAATTCTTTTATTACATGTGAGTCACTTCCACTGCCCTCTACTTTAGTATGTCACTGAAACATGGTAGCCCAAAATGTCCTAACAGTGAAAGCCAAGTCTTGGAGCTGTTTGTGCTTGGCCAAGATTGTTACCTGAATGTGCATCAGTTTCTTCAACCATATAATGGAGAAATTAATATCTGTCCATTCTATTTCATAAGACTGAAGTATAAAATACAATAATGTACATGAAAGCACTTATTTTAGTACATTAAATGAAAGAATCTAGATGCAAGTCTCAAGCTCCAGCTTATTTACTATGCAACTTTAGAGAATCCACTAGACTTTTTTGAGCCCCAACTTACTATTGTGAAAAGATGGGTATATTATTAGTATCTAATTCACATGAATATGTGTCAAAATACATACCCAATGTGAAAGTGCTTTGTAAAAAGCAAAGCACCAAAGGTGATTAGCATCAGAGGCTCTAGATCATGAACTTTTGCTTTGCTGGTACTTTCTTTTGTGTTCTCTCATGGAACAGTAGTACCACACTAGTACCAGGTTAAGATTCGTTGGGACCTATGTTCTAAAGCGTGTTTCCCAGACCAGCAGCATTGGCAGCACCTGGGGACTTGTCAGAAATGAAAATAGTTAGATTTCACACGCCTAGATTTCTACCAAGTCTGAAATTCTGCAGTGGACTCAGCAATCTGTTTTACTGAGCCCTCCAGATGATTACCACACATGCTGAAGTCTAAGAACTACTGCTTTAAAACAAATTTGGTTCTAAGACTTGGCTGCATATTGTTATCAACTCGAGTGCTTCAAACAGTACTGATGCCTGAGTCACACCCTCAGATTTTTAATTTGTCAAATGCAGACTTGATGGAGGGCAACACTTAACACATAAATCAACAACACAGCACTAGACTTCGGTATTTGGCAAGTTGCGTAATGATAAAAATATCAAGGGTGCAGAGATCATGGAAACCAGGAAAAAAGTTCTACAGAGAAGTGAAGATTCAACATAACGTAGAAAGGAGGGTAAATTCCCTAAGTGCAGAGGGATAACTTTGTATGAGCAAAGGAAACCCTGATGTCATGCTGATAATGAAATGACTTTAGAAAGAAAGCTACAAGGATGTAAACTATGTAAAGATAAGCCCATGAACTCATCAGCAATACAATTATTGATTAATTTTACTCTCTACTGATAAAGATATTTAAAATTATTTTAATTGCTTAGAAGGCAACATGCTAGAAAAGATAGTAAAGTCCTTTTTTTCCAACAGAGATCTTGGACCCTCTGGGATAATTTCAGGTATGTAAGCCTGCTTTAATATTTTAAAATCTATCCATGTAATCCATATTAACAAGATAAAGAAAAATCACATGAACAAGTCACTTGATGCAAAAAAAGTATTTGATGAAATTCAATGCCCATTTAAAATATAACAACTCTAAGAAAACTGGGAATATAGGGAATTCCTCAAGTAGATAAAAAGCATTTTCAAAAATACTCAAGCTAACATCATACTCATTTGTGAAAGTCTGAATGCTTATTCCAAATATTAGGAATAAGGCAAAGATGTCTATTCAACAATATAATGTAGGTACTAGCCAGCATAATAAGGCAAAAAAGTAAAATAAAAGGCATACAGAGCAGAAAGGGAGAAAGAAAGTAGTCCCTATCTGTGGGCAAATGGAAAACCCCAAGTAATCTACAATAAAATCATAAAATGTTACCATAAATCCTAGCCAGAGTCAGAAGACAAAGAAAAATAAGAAATTTAATAATTGGAAATGTTTAAAGTGGTAACTACTTATATAAAATATGATTTCTATGAAAAAAATGGCAAGATAAAAGAGTAAAATTTAGAGCATTCTCTAGTCCTTCGGGTAAAAGTTCCTTCTTAAACAATGATAACATTCTTATTAGTAATAGTCAATGCAATAATAATAATTCCTATTTATCAAGTAACATGACTATGAGATGCCTTGTATATACCTATCAAAATACATGAAGATTTTATTCAAGACCATAAAAAGAGGTGAATAAATGGATATACTTACCATGTTCATAGAAGAGAGGATTTAATGTCACAAAGATGTAAATGTACCAAATTAACCTAGAAAATACAATTTTAATTAATGTTTCAGTGGTTTTTCTAGTTTTGGTATAACCCCAATCATAAATTCTTATGAAAAATGGGAAGAAAACATGTAATTTTGTAGAAGAATTAGGTAGTAGGATTAACCTTACTAAATATCTGATTTAGGACAGTAGCAGTATTAGAAGTCAGTATAATTTGTTTTATGGACTTTGATTTATAGAAGTTTACTATATACATTTCAGATAATTTGAAAAATTATATTGGCTTTCCTTGTGGAAAAATAATCATTCATTTAAAATAAAGTATTCCAGATGGTTTTAAATATTTGACATTCAAATGTTCATATTTAAAAATTTACCATGTAAATAGAGATAGCATTTTTATGACCTTAGATGGCATAATAGTTCTTAAATCTTTATGAATAGCAGGTCATATAAAGGAAGATACCAATAAATTTAAATCTCTGTGAATGAAAGAAGACAGTAAAAAGTTTAAAAGTCAAGTGATAAAAGAAAATTACTAATGAAGGGCATTAGTCATTTTGAAATACTTTACGAATTTTAATGAAAAGGACAGATAATTCAATGGAAAATTGACAAGAACTATAAAAAGGCAATTATAGAAAAGGAAACCAAAATAGCTAATAAATCCATAAAAATATTTTATTTCACTGATATTCAAGAAATGCAAATTAGATAAGGTGAAATATTTGTTAATATCCAGCATGTTAAAATGTAAAAGTCTGAACTTTTCAATTAATGAAGATATGACGAAGTAGGATATCATATGAATTACTGGTGGGATTGTATGTTAATACAATTTCTCTGGGAAGCACTTGACAGTAAAAGGTAAAATGAAAGAGTATGAATCCTTAGACCAGCCTCTGCACCTGCAGAGATAGAGGAAAACCCCAGCATACCTCTCCATGGAGGTACAAACAAGAATATTCATGTGGTTATTAATATAGAATAGAAACAATTCAAATGCTCATTAAAAAGAGGATGAATAAATGGTGGCATATTCACAATGGAATAAGACAGAGCTAATATGTGTCTGTACAGATAATTTCCATAAACTTTATTGAAGATGAAAAAAATTTATATATCAGTTATATAAATTTTGCATTCATTCAAAAAACGTAGGAATATACAACATGGAATATCATATTGTATATTTTTATGAATATATATTTAGAAGTTTAATGTGGCCATAAACATTGTCTTTCCCTTTGTTGATGAACAAAATAATCTTAATATTTTTAAGATGTTAAATTTCTGCAAGAAAAACTGAAAGTAGGATCAAGGAGGGTATCTTGGGGGTTTGATTGCAACCAGAATTACTTTGAAGAGACAAATGAATCTGAAGGACACGTGGTAAATATTGTTTCAGAAAACTAGATGACAATGTCTTGCCCCGTTCAAGTTCCCTATGGATTCAAAGTGACCAAAGAAATTGACAACAAAACGTTCTTGGGGTGGAAGGGTTATACCCAACTTTATTTCCAGGTGTCAGGTCAGTCACTAGAATCCCGTTCACTCAGAGCGAATCTGCAAGCAGCAAGCCGGTCTCTGCCTCTCGGGCCCTCTGTCCGCACAGCTGTCCTCTGGGCCTCTGTCCTCGGCACTGCCACCACTCCAGCCTCTGCTCTGCTCTCCTGCAGCCTTGCAGCCCTGCCACCGTGTCATGCCCAGAGCACTGGGTGGAGCTCTTTTTATAGTCAACAGCCATGTATTGCCCACAGGTGTGCAGTGAACTAGTTAACCATGGCCAGGTGAGAATCCTGGCCACAGGAACTCTCATTTTATCCACAACAGAAATGTGGCTTTTGGGTGTATTACTATTTTGAATGTTTAATATATTTTATAATAAAAATCTATTCATATAGAAAACAATAATTTAAATCTCTACTATAAACAAGTATTTCTTTAAAATAGAAGTTTTGCCATGTTCACCATCCCCTTTCTTTCTCCTGTAAAAGTCCACCATGGTTGGAAAGGGTGAGACTAATGCTGAAAAGCAAGATTTTTTTTTCTAAGGGCAATTAAATTTAACACCTGGCTGCCTGGTAATCAAAGCATTAAGCTTATTCTCCTGACAGATTTTCCTTATTCTCCAGGTTTCCCATTTCACACAGCAGGGAATCAAGGTTGCTGGAATCCACAACTAATTTCCAGAGGATAACAGAACTGCTTTATCAAAAATAACACATAAACACTTTTTTTTAACCCATAAATTTTTTTAAAAAAAAACAGCCTAACTTTTCACTCCACTTCACTGCAAAGATAACATAAATGACATATATATGAAAATTACGATAAATAATTACCTTTCTTAAACAAACCAGACATGTATCTCAGCTCAACGCTTACCCCAACACAACCTATTTTTTATATAAAAAGTTTATGTTCTAAATTCATAAAATTAGGCTAGAAACATTGGTGTGAGTTCTGATTGCTCTGTCTCCTTTACTCCTTACTCATTCTGCCACAAAGAATGATAGTAAGGACTTCCTTCAACATGTATCACTGACTTCACAAGTCTCAAGCTAAACGGAAGCAGAAAGTATTGTAATACTGACAGGTGAGTATGAAACCTCGGGATTTCCCAAAATGAAACCTGAAAATGGCCCCGTACAGGGAGGGAAAGGACAGACCAAGAAAGAGGCGAGCCACTCCCGACTGACGGCAGCCGGTTGCATAAAACTTACTTGCAAGGCTTCTCCTGGGCATCCTGACAAGTCGACGTCTGTGCCCACCCCACAGAATCTTAAGGGTTCATAAAGAAGCCTTAACTGGTTTCAGTCACATGTACCATCCAGGTGGTCTCAATGCCACATGCTCTCTCAACGTTGCTGTGGGAACAGTGGGCAGACCCACACTCCAAGGACAGGTGAGGGCTGAGAAGCCTCTGATTGCCAGGATCTAGTTTGAGGGTCAACTGGAGGTCACGTCCTTTTGATGACCTCCTCCAGCAAGACATAACTTGGAAGATGAGCCAGTGAAAAGAAATGGTTTGCTCTAGGACACACAACCAGAGCTGAGCAGAGCCAGGGCTAGATCCCAAATAAATCTTCTGCTCCCATGATTTATTCATTTTATAATATCTTATACACTCAAGTTTTTTCCATACTCACAGCTATCACCTTAAACCAAAATGAATGCTTTAATCTCACTTTAAAATTTCCAGATGGTCTGCCTAATTGCAGGCTACCCTTCCCTTACTTTTATTTCTGCCTTTTTATTCTAATACTTCCTCACTACAGAATAGGCTACTCTATTAATACTACCCTAATCTTATTTTCCTGAATTCCCTAGTCTATTCCATCTTGTACTAAATGATCTCTTCAGAAAGGATGATATCATGTGGGACTTTATATTGAATGTCCTTTCTCCTAAATTCTGGAAGTCTTACCCATCATTGTAGGCACATTTTAATTCCTATCCACTCTATGAAATCTCAGTCTATTTTCACCCATAATTCTATTATTTAACTATCATACTTACATCTATGCTGCAGAAATGAGTAATTTATTTATTGATCATCTCAAATGCATTTCTGGTTTCTTACCCAACTATTCTAAACTCTGTTATCCTGGTAATGTATCTTTTGATTATTTGTAATCTCTCCAGGGTCCAAGACAGTGGTGATCCATAACAAGCGCTCAAAACTACTTGTCAAGTGATTGACTAAATTTAATTTAGAAAGTCAAATTACAGAAGATGATTGCTAAATGAAGTGAATAGTAGATGCCTACATCATTCGGATTAGCTATCTATACAACATACCACCGCATGAGAGTCGATTTGCTTACCCCACACAGCTCCAGGGAGCAGTGCATGTGAGCACCCACCTCCATGAAGCAGTTGGTAATACCTCCATTGCTCCAAGGCTAGACAATCCACTGGAACAGGGAATCTTCTGACTAGAAGTCAGAGAGGTCATCTACATGGTAGCGTGTTGCTCATAGATAAAAATTCATGTCATATAGAAGCCAAAATTTGTGACAAGATAAATCATAGCCATATTCAAGCTATTGCTATGTGGAAAATGACGCAGAGTCAACAGAAATGCTGGATTCCAGAGAGGAGAATGCAAAAAACAAGCTGATGCTGAAGGAAAGAGGGAAAGAAGGAATGAATGGAGGGAGGGAGGGAGGGAGGGAGGGA